TATCCAACGTATTTCCGGAGCCATTCTGGACAGATGTTCTCCAGGTAATGTGTCTGTCTCTCTGCCATGATCCCGTCGTGTTCCCATTTCCTCTTGGTGATCTGGGCAGCTCCATCGGCCGCCACGAAGTTCCCAGATCCCAGCTCAAAGGAGATGAAATCCTGCCCGTCGTAGCCTTGCCGAAAGAATCCACGGACACTTCCATCGGACAGGAGGTCACAGCCACAAACTCGCTGCACTGTGTGGAGACCTGGGGGGTGGGATCAGACCCATGGAGACCCTGGAATTGTGTCCCAGCCCCACGGAGCCCCATTCCAGCCCTATGGAGCCCCAGAGTGCGATGGAGACCCACAGAGCCTCATCCCAGCCCCTTGGAGCACCCTGGATCCACATCCCAGCCCCACAGATCCCCCCATTCCCTGGCTCCCCCCACTCACCCCCACTCCAGTTGTACAGGCCCCGTGCTGTCTCCAGGTCGGTGGTAGCAATGAGCCGGTTCCTCTCATTGATCTGGGTCTCTCTATCCCAATATCCCGGCTCGGCTCCGGCCGCCATCCACGGCGTCTGTGGCTCCGTCCGGCCCCGTTCGCTGTCGTAGCGCTCAAAGGGGATCCCGTCCACATGTCCCATGGACAGGTATTGAGGGATCCCCGGGCCGGGCTCTGACACCATCACATCCAGGTAACGCAGGGAGTGGAGAACTGGGAGGACACGGAGATTTGGGGGGTCCAGAGGGGTCATGGGAAGGGGGAACTGGGAGAGCTGGGAGAGCCGGGAAGGGGGTTTGGGGATCCCAGGGCCAAGGAAAGGAGGGTGTAGAGACTGGGAGAGGTGGGATGGGGCACCCAGGGGTCCCTGTGCCCAGGAAAGAGGAGCCTGGGGGGGCCCCAGTGTTGGGGCAAGAGGGGTCATGGGGTGAGGAGACCCAGAATGGCTGGGAATGAGGGTGCAGGGGGGGTCCCAGTACCAGAGAGGGGGGTCAGGTGCTGGATAAAGAGGGGGGCAAAGGGGTCCCCATGCCCAGGAATGGAGGTTCAGAGGGTCATGGAGGTTCAGAGGGTCCCAGGGTCAAGGAAAGGGGGTGCAGGGTCTGGGAGAGGTGAGATGGGGAGTCTAGGGGGTCCCTGTGCCCAGGAAAGGGGCGTGCAGGGGTCCCCAGTGTTGAGGAAAGTGGGGTCTGGGGGCTGGTTAAGGCAGGAAAGGGGGTCCAGGAGGTCTCAGAGTCGGGGAAAAGGGGGGTCTGGGAGAGGCAGGATGGCCAGGAAAGGGAGTGCAGGAAAGTGTTGGTGCAGGATAAGGGGGTTCAGGGGGGTCCCGGTGCCCAGGAATGGAAGTTCAGGGGGGTCCTGGTGCCCAGGAATTGCGGTCGAGGGCGTTCCCGGTGCCTGGGACCCCACTGCAGGAAGCACAGGGAGTGGAGAACTGGGGGGGTCACAGAGATTGGAGGGTTTGGGGGGTCCAAGGGTCAGGG